TTTTTTTCCTAGCTATGTTCTTTCTTAGTCATTTGATTCTTTTTCTTAGCAAAGGGAAAATGAATATGCCTACCTGATAAGCCCTGTACTTCTATAACTAAACATAAAATGAGCATTAGTTCATAGTTCTAAGGTGCTTAAAAATGTCCCCAAATCCTCTTCGAAATTTAGACAAGATTCTACAGTTTTCTGATTAAGTCTTTCTTTTCTCAAGCTCCTATATTCAAAAGTGTTTCAAAACAATTTCTATTCAACTTAATTTATTTTAGTTTTAGGTTATATATTTTTGGTTACCAGCATTGTAATACCATGTTCTCCATGATTTATCATTATAAACATGTGAATAAAAAATTTAATAAAATTTAATTCTAATAATCTTTTGGGATTTATTATGGAACTAAATGTCATTTATCACTCTGTTTCTATGAGAAAAGATAATCTGGGTTCCAAAAATCTGACTCACACATGAACACAACTCATATGCAAATTAGGGACTACTTTGTTCCATAATGCTGGGATCCCCAAAAAGATATGTAGGGTGGCAGGCCAAGAACATCTACTAACGTGGTAGAAGAAAATACTAACATATCTATTTATTTACTTATTTTTATCTCATCCTTTTTAATTTTTATTTAAGTATTTTTTCTAATGTTCAAAATCTACTTGTATTCTGTACATATAATTTTGAAAAGAAACTTTTTTAAGGATTAATACTCAGGACAAATTTTTTAATTGGGGTATGTGATAAAAATGCTGGAGATCACTAAATGAAAATATACGTACATAAAGTGATATGATTTAAAGTTTGGAACGTGAAAAGGGTACTTTTTAAAAGCTTTTTGAAGCTTTTCTTCTAAAAAAACTTTTTAAAAATCAATCTGTACTTCTATAACTAAACATAAAATGAACATTAGTTCATAGTTCTAAGGTGCTTAAAAATGTCCCCAAATCCTCTTCGAAATTTAGACAAGATTCTACAGTTTTCTGATTAAGTCTGTCTTTCTACAGATAAAAGCCTCTAAAACAATAACTCTCAACTAGAGATAAAGAGCACCCGTAGTGTATTAAAAAAATGCGGGTTCTTAAGTCTTACACTAAGAGATTCTGAGCCAACAGTGTCTGTGGCTTTGAGAGATTAGGATAGTATCTCAATACTACTGACATTCTAGGCCACATCATTCTTTGATGCAAGGGGCTGTCCTGTCTTATGCAGTGTAAGATGTTTACTATTATAATTGGCCTCTACCTATTAGATGTCCAGAGCACCGATCCCACTCCCTGTTATGACAACAAAACACGCCTCTAGACTTTGCCAAATGCCTCCTGGAGGGCGGCAATCTTCCCCAATGGAGAACCAGAAATAGAAGCTATCCATATATGACACACTTTGAGAAATGCCAACTTTAATCAACAGAATAGAATAATGTGATAAGAGTAGAAGGATATGGATATTACAAGCATACATTGTATAAATTGAAATAAACAGGCTTCCCATAAAAGAAATCTGATTAGCCTCTATAAACTCCTGACAACTCAGCTAAGCTTCTAAGTCAAAGCTCTTCTCATGTAATTTCAACTTGAATATTTTCTCCCTAGCTTCTATTTAAAATTATTTTTAATTAACTTCACTGGCATTTTGCATCCTGCTATGAAAAGTCCGCCTAATAGTCTCAGAGGACTCTCCCAAGAGAGAAGAGTGCATTAAATCACACATTATCACATTAAAGTATATTCTGGCACTCCAAGTCCAACAGTCTAAATCTTGGCAAATGCAATGAGGTGGCGGGGGTGGTGCAGGGAAGGCAACAGGCTCAAGTGATTCACAATATCCAAAGCCTCTTTTCTTTAATTCACCATCCACAGGAAATTTGTAGTGATTCTCTGCTTCAACCACATTTATCACAATGACATATATTTTACAATTAGTGCTTCCACACTGATTTCTGACTATGTATGAGACCTTGGGCAAGTCACTTAAATTCTCTGGACATCCTTTCCAAAAAATGAGCCAGCTGAACTAAATTATTTCTAAAGATCCTTCTAGTTACAAGTCTCAGGTTTCTGAATGAGCACTTAATTAAAAGGTTCTTTTGACTATATGGATTTTATTAACCATAGTGCAAAAAAAGCAAATATCTACATTTTGAGTACTGATAACACAATGAATTTTAAAATGCTTAATCCAAAAAAAAAAAAAAAATTGACAGCCACATTTACTGGCCCCAATAATCCTTCACCTATACATTCAAGGGTACTTTGAACAGATATGCAAACCAACTCAATCTTTCAAAAGTTAGTCACATATAAGGAAATAGTTTTAAATTGCACTTTTAGTTTCTATTTTTTATAGAGATTGCAAATCAGATGCTTGGAGGCCAAGCCTACAGGTGTTATTTGTTTGGCCTAGACAAAAATTATGCGTAATTCGTTGCCAACTGTTAAAAAATAAGAGATGATCTATAAAAATCTATATTTCCAGTGTCTCATAAAATATTGGAAGATATTAACCCAAATGACAACAATGAACTGGCCCATGAGCTCTCTAGTGACACCCAATCCCAACTGCTCCCTATTTTCTGATGTTCCCTCTTACAGACTGGAGCATATGAGCTTATGTCCTTGCTCTATAACAATTTTCAAAATCCATAAGAAAGATTTTTAATGTTATCAAAGCAACAGAATTTTGCTTATAGAATTACAGCAAAAGGATAGACATTCTAAAGAGACATATGCTCTCAATAAGGAAAACCTTCATAACTCTGAATGCTGTAAAATGCACGACACTATAGGTTTCTAACTAACCAGAAATGTAGAAAGGAATTCTAGACTTGATGGGGAGTTCAGAAGAGACCCCCTAAAATTACCTTCAACTTTAACATTCTATGCCTTTGGTTAGCATTAAAGAGAGCTCATCACAACATAGGTTATACTATATTTCTTTGTGTGTTTATGTATTTAACTTTGTTTGCAAGGAAAACTTAACTTTATCCTTTTTCTACATGAAAAAATATTTTCTGTTAGTTTTCATAAAACATTCCATTTTTCTCACTTATTTTAATATATAAATTTTAAAATTAAGTTTCAGTTAACTCAGTAGCCACATTCTACTAGAAAATCATTAAGCTATTCTTCAGAAAAGATGATAAAGAATTCAAGGAAAGAAAAAAGTGGATGAAAGGCTCAAGAGTTGATAAGTCCTGTTTGCAAAGCTCCTCTTACATGTTTATCAATAAAACCAACCTAACCAAGGAGGTTACATCTTGAGGCTTTTTTTCTAATCACTTGCCCTAACAATTGTTTTTCTTTCAGTACACCTTATGAAATCTGCTAGTTTGAGACATAATATTTTAACAAGATCCTGAGGATTTTCTTTTTAAAAAGTCAACTTAATATTCCATTTACAATTAAATCAATACCTATCTAAAGGATGCTGTGAGTCAGTCAAACTAAAAAAAAAAAAAAAGCAATATGCAACTTTGTTGCTGAGGTTAAGTTAGTTTTCAGGTAAAATCTAACCTAAGAGTTTCCACACTGGTAATATATGTGCTGTATTAAGTCAACATTCTCTTTCAGACCATTCTTAAAGTCAGATTATATACCTTACAGCACTACATCTGCACAGGTGCATTAAGCATCACCGCAAGATCTTTTAGCTTATTTTAAAAATGCATAGTTTTTTCAGTAGGACATTGTAGACATCAACTATTTCCAAATCAATTATTTTTCTAGTGTGCTTAATGTTGATTTTGACATAAGCATTGTTTAACAATAGTGATTAACAACATATAAGAGTGAGGCAATGACTACGAAGAACATGCCCAAGGATAGGAAAATGGCTGTGTTGGCAGTACAATGCGTGGAACACGGTTTGCTTCTGGGAAACATGTTTATCATTCTAGTTCTCTGATTTTCAGATTTTCTCTATTTTCTGTTTAGAAAAAAAGTGACTCACTGTTTAGGAAAAAAAAAAAAAGATAGACATAATTCAATTTAACATCCCTGAATGCCAGAACACTTTGATTTAGCCATGGATGTTTTCTGCTTTCTATTGTGCGTTAAACATTAACTTTCCCATTTTTGCTGCCTTTAATGAAAAGAATGTGAAGAATCCCACTATAGTACTGTTAAAGGGGGGAAAAGGCATCAGATATGCTTAAAATCAAAAGTATAAAGTAGGTTTTTGAGCTCTGGGAAATTATTTAGTTGATATCAGTATCAGAACTCTTCAAATCAGAACCACCCTGCCCAGCAGAAGAGTAAGGCCCTTGATCTTAGTAACCAATGGAAACCTGATGTTACCTTCAAGAGAAGAAAGTCTGACTTGTTCATAAGACTGTTACAGAAGTTTCTCAGCAACAAGAGTATTTTCTCTCATAGTCTGTGTGTGTTTACACTTTGGAAGAACACTTGGAAAGTGTTTCTTTAAAGGAATGTTTATTTCGAAACAAAACAGTTATTGAAAACCTATGCATGAGCCATTCCAACGCAATTGGTCACAGAAACCTAGATTAGAAACCAGAGCTACAGAGTAGCCCACAAGACACAGAAAGATGAAGGGAATGCATACTTGTTCAGAGTACAGAGGCAGTCCTGGATCCGAAGAACACGTAAAAACTAAAGAGACCTAGTGTAGAAGTGTTTCAGAACCCACACATCCTGAGTTTTAATGCCTATCCCATACACATGCTTAAAAACGAAGCGATCCTGTCATCCTGTTTCTCCGCAGCCAAAGGAAAGGGGAGTGGAGGCACCAGTGGATTCCGCCCTCTTATCCGGTTGTTGATCTAGGGCAGGAATCCTGGGGAACTTGATTGAGTAACGCTAACTGTGCAAAAAGTTCATAACAATGAGGTAGGAATACGTCCCTGCCATACCAACACCTCACCGCCCCCACCCCCAAAAAAACACTCACACATACACACCGCCATCAGTAAATGTGTGAACAAATTTTAAAATTCAGCAACGACAAAGAAACTTGCAACTTGCAAGTTCGCACTCACCCTGGGCCGGTGCGCCCAGGCGGCCATCACCCGCCTCGGCCCCGCGCTGGGGCCCGGGAGTTAAGGATTCACTCACGCCGGACATGGGCTGCTTCACCGACTGCCGCCTAGCTGGCCGCCCCGCGGGGCGGACGCTGAAAGGCCGTTAAGTGTTGGTGCAGGGAACTGACCGCTTCTGGAGTAGGGGGGGAGGGGAGAGAGGGAAAAGGAGGTGTTTTAGAGAAGAGCACACCACCCCTGTGGGACATTCCCTCCCCGTCTCTCCATTTCCCTCCCCGAAACCCCACCCCTGGGAAGTTTTGATTTGAAACCAACCAGGGAGGAAAATTGTTTACCCAGCAAGCTGACAGCAGCAGAATCTCGGGGGTGCCCGAGCCACTGAAGGCGGGAGGGGATTGGATTTGGGAGAAACTCGAGGGAAGGGACCAAATCCCTCCTCCTCCCAACCCAGGAGACCACTACCTACCTCGGCATCCCCACCAATTCGCTCAAAGCCCTTTCCTCCTCCTCCTCTTCCGCAAAGTTAGTGAGGCTCCGGCAGAGGTTGCATATCGCCCCACTGGCCTGATGGTGGAGGCCGCCCCAGCGTGTCCCTCCCCGCCTCCCTCTGGCTCAGCCAGACACCGCAGTGGCGGCAACTGCAGCAGTGGCTGTTCCAATGACTCCGTGCTCTCCGCCCCCTCTTCCAGCCAGTTCAGTCCAGCGAGTTCTCCTCCAAAGGGGACTTTCTCCTCTGTCTCTCTTCTCCCCTTCCACCACTTCTACACTCCTGAAACACCTCTCCCTCTGTTGCTCCTTTTCACCGTATTCGGATTGGGGAGGCCTCAAACTCTTGGCCCGGAGGCTGGGGGCCGCGACCTGGCTGGCTGCCTACTCCCTCGTGCCTCACTCTGTCTGGGTCAGGAGGCCAAAGACACAGGGCTGGGAAGAGCTCATCTCCGGGCTGGGAAAAGGAGTAAATTGGCTGGTCTCTGACTGCCCAAGATCCCGCCCCCCCCTCCCCCAGATCCCAGTCACCTCATCCCCTCCCTATCAGCTGCTCTTCCCGGGTCCAGCCCCAGAACAACCAAAAAAAGGGGAATGCTGTGAAAGAAGAAACTTTTAGGGTGGACAATGCAAAATAAAAAATAATAATAATAATACAAAAATATCGAACTTTACTAGTGGAATAAATTATGGCTTTGTAACCTTGACCCCTAGCTGAAATTCCTTTTAATCTGTTCTTCAGGTTTTTGTTTATTTTGGTCAAACAGGATTTTGGATCTGGTAAAATCAGTTACAGTTGCATGAATGAACTGGAGGCATCCAGGCAGGCAAGGGTGCCCTGACCCAAGGCCCCAAGCCAGGCTCTTTGCAGTCTTCCTGAACTGATCTTTCTGTGTGGCAAGATAAATTTGTGGTTGGAAGTAAATAGCACATCAACTCTCCTTTTATAAAGTTGTTCTGATTGTGGCTTAATCTGATGAGCCAAGAACAAGTATAATTTGCAGATATAAAGTACTTAAAATATGCATTCAGATAACTTTTGCTCTTTATTTAATTGAATGAAATGCAGAACTCATTTGTAGAAAGCTAGAACAAACACATTCTTTGAATCTCTAGAAGTGAGGAATCATAGTAATGTTACCAAAATTGAAGAAAATATACAATGGATACATCTTCTTTCTATCATTAATGCATCATTAATAAGATCTCAGAGATTTCATTTCTTCAAAAAAAATTGCAAATGATTCCAATTGATTGAAAAAATCCATTTCTTACCATTAAAAAGTCAGTGTCACCAAATATGCTTTTAGTTAAACCTGAAAAACACTCAACTTTGAAGTTTCTGATGACAGTTACTCAGACCATACTTCCAAAATACAATGACATTTTGCCCAATGACCTATGACTAACAAATGCTTTTTAATTTTAATTTAGAGATTTCAGAAGTAGTGTTTATAAAAGTGCCTTAACTCTCCTGGAAACTTGTGTCGGGAACTGTACTATTTGGAAATTGCTTGATGGAAGTCAATCAATTCTGAGGAGGACTGCACTGCCATTAGAGAATGAATTACTGCCTAGTGCAACTCAATCTACAACCAAAGGAGCAAAATAGAAAGTAGATACTCAGGAAGATTCTGTTTTATCCCTTTTTTACATATTTCCTTGCCTCTTTTTTGTTTAATCTCCTAAGATATTGTCAGAATGGAAAAATTAATTTTTCCTCATAGTTTTCTAAGTTATTCTGGCTGGACAAATTAACATGAGACAGATTGAGAAAACGACCATATTTATCACATATGACACATGAGATTTCCATAAGACAATGAGATCCGAGGACACATTGGGCAATGGAGCCTTATAAGCCTTTTTGGAGCAAGGGAAAAGTAGTTTGGGACTTCAAAGGGCAGGAAGGCAATTCACAAGAAGATGGAAAAGCAAACGTTTGGTAAATAAATGTTTGGTGGACCCTTTTCAAAAATGGGACACAAAGAGGACTTTGATCAAATGATTCTTGCTAGGTTCCTCCCTGTCACACCTAGTTTATATTAAGCTATAGTTATCTGTAATGATATCTCTGTTCCTAGAGCAGGTCTTCTATCTAAATTCTTTTAGGCCCTTAGGGGAAGGTTACAGGTTCTTTCTGAGTCTTTTGTTTCTTAAAAATAACCAACTTAAAATAATCAATATCCCAAGAAAGTTATGTCAATGATAAATATTTTTCAGTGGGAAACTTTACTCCCCCCAATGTTTAAAGCCTATGAATATCAAGTTACAGCACTCTTCAAGAAAGTCATAATCAGTAACAAATATTTGTTAATTTAAATTCACGCTATACCTAATGTGGCACACATAATAGATAATTCAATAAATAATCCTTGAATTAAATTTAAACATTATACCTTTTAATGGAAAAAAATAAAATTCAAATAAAAATATAAGGAAAAAATGAGAGACTGTGGTAGAATCACTAAGATAGACAAATTCTGTATCTTGCTCAGCTGTGCGAGTTTGGGCAAGTTGGTCAACCTTTTTATGCCTTGGTTGTCTCATTAAGTGAAAATAAGAGAAACTCTTCATAGAGTCCCTTGAGGACTAGATAAGATAATTCTCTTATGCCTTTTGGAAAAATGTCAGATTTGAGGACAGTTGTTCAAAAATATTGACTATTACTATTATTACACAGCAGAAGCATTTTGATGGGTAATGTTGAGCATGGCATAATGACTATACTATAAGGGTCACATCAAAAAATCAGGTAAACATGCCATGAACTTTACACAAATTTTCTCAGTGATTCTTACATAGGCTTTATCCGTAATTTGCCAGGGTTGTACTTATAGGATTTAGTTAAACTTCTAGTTAAACTCAGGTCTCCCCTCTGGGGGACCTAGAAGTCCACAAGCCTGGTATCTGCTACACCAGGAATTAAGTGTGAGCTGCTAAGTGTTCCAAGCTGCCCATTTACCCCATCCTTTGCTGTACTTGTTTAATCCGTCTGACTAATCTGTTAGCTTTGTTCTTGATGAGCACTTCAGGGCCTTCATCCTCTCATTCTTTTACTCAACAAACATGTATGGAAGTGGAGGGCCTGTCACGAGTGCTGGGGATGCAGCAATGAAAATGACAATGTATTCATTGCTCTCATGGAACTCATAGTCTAGAAGGAAATTAGGACACAACCACTTACAACAATAGTCATTGAATGGGATGGTGACAGAAGTTCTGGGATGCTAAAATAATACCTAGAAGAGATGTAGTCTTATCTAGGACTTAGAGAATCTTTGCTGGAAAAAAATTATGTCTCCACTCAAACAAGAAGGAGAAAGTGAAAATAGGAAAAAAGACTGTTCTATGAAGAGTAACAGTATGGGTGAAGGCCCAGAGTTTTGAGTCCTAGCATCCTTGAAGTACTGCAATAAATTCAACTTAAGAGGATAAACAAATGCAAGGGGAAGAGTGATGGGGGATGAAGTTGAAGAGAAAAGCAGAGCAGGAGTCTTATCTTCTTTGAACAAGGAGGATATATTATCCAAATTTCTATTTTTAAAAGCCACTCTGGTGTAATGTGTAAATGATTTGGAGGCACAAGATTTGAGCTAAGAAATCCAATTAGGATGCAAGGAATGATGCTGGAAGAGGGAATAGAGCCAGAGAGACAGAGGTAAAGGATGGGAGAGCTAGAGAATCAAGGACAACTTCCAGATTTCTGCACATAGGTGGATGATGGTATTACTTCAGAGATGGGAACATTTAGGAGAAGCAGGTTTGGAGAAAAACTACTGAGTTAATCATGTAGATGATGTATTGTCTGAGATACCTGCAAGAGAGCTAACTGGAAGCATCCAGTAGGCTGCTGGACCAGTGTCTGGAATATGAGCACATAGGTGGTACTAGCTAAGTTTTGAGTGCCCAAGGTGAGTGTGTAGTGTAGGAGCAAAAAGTCTAAGGCACAGTTATACCCTAAAACTTAGTCCAAATGTGTCCTTACTGACCCTTCTCCAAACCCTTCCCAATGTCATAATACTGTTATCTGCCTAGCTTTGAGAATCACCGTTATTTAGTTACTACTACCGCAAGTGTCCCAGCCACTATTCCAGATGCTCCTGGGTATCACATTATGGTATTTATTAAGCCAGATTCTGCCATGGTTCATACTATAGCAATCTGGATGAATGGAAACTTTGCATGGGGACCAGCTTTCCACTGGATGCCCTATCCCTGTCTCAAAGCTTTCTGCCATTGAAATCCCAGTGTGCCTTACAACCATTCCTGCCTAGTGATGTACATACTAATGATGACATAATAATATGTGACTCATTGTGAAAGAGGTCTGACATGAGCTAAGCAAATAAAATAAACTAATGAAAAGTGTTTATAAAGCATCCTTATGACTATTTAATCTTCATCATTCATTCGTTCAACATTCACGAAACATCTTTTATGTACCTACTATATGCTAAGCCAAATGTTAGGTTCGGGGGATAAAAAAAAATGAGTTGTTTAAAAAGCAACTAAATTAATTTTCACTTTGGCAGAGGCTTATCTACCTAGCTAAAGTCAAAGTTACTCTCCTGACATAGTTATCTAAACCAGAGATCTACAAGTGGATATTTAATTATGCATGCATCCCGGGGGGTGAACAAGACATAGAAACCAAGAAATAACCCAAAGCCTCTAAACACCTAAAATAACCTTCATGACCTTTACATAGTGCCAACACAATAGTCATCAACTTTCTCAAATCTTACTAATTCTTTTTTGTGTGTGTGTGTGAACATACCCTTCTAAACAAACTTTATTTTCTATTGCTTTAGGGTTTGGGGGCTTTGATAAAAAGGGTTAGCTAAGGGAGCTATTAGATCAGAAAAAAATGACAGCTGAAAAAATGACAGCTGACAGGGAAGATACAGGACAATAAACACGTCATGAAAACGCTTTTGTGAATTCAGCTCAGTAGAACAGCACAGTGAGTGTTCCTAATGAGGGCCTGAGTCATTAAGGGAAGATTCAGTTACCACACTGCTGCATTCTGTTTTTGAGGGAAGCAGGCCAGTATTCTTATATTTTAGGAAAAATTGCACCACAAAAAATGTTCACATAAAAAAATGTTGCTACTTGAAAAAATAACTTTCACAGAATTACATTTTTAAAGCTTCAAGGGAAATAAGCAATTGCAATTCTGGGGTAATTTGTTTTAACTATATTTCTCCACCTCCCAGTGCTCTCTTAGGAAAGGTCAGTTGGGCAGGTTTCTGGAATCCTGTTCTCACTTCAAATGGAGCACTATCTTCTTTTTCTCCATAAAGTTGTGGTCCTTCCCTTAAATTTTTAACTGAGAAAACCAGTTCTTCCACTTTTTAAACATTTGAAAACTATAACTATTGCCAAATTCCCTCATTTAAGATAGGAAGAAATACAAAGACAAAAAGGTTTTCATTGGGTTCAACAAACATATATTGAGTGTTTACATCCAATCATA